CGAGGCTAGAGTAAATCGGGTGGAAAAATCACCCAAGGACAAACACAGAAAACGGTTGAATTCAGAGCACCAGAAAATCGGAAAATTCGAGAACCTTCTTCCAAAGCTTCCTGCCCCCAGAGTCGTCTTCGACTTCAGCTTTTCTGGCCAATCCCAGGCCTCTAAAAATCGCCTGATCCTCAGCCAGAGAGCTGGATCAAGGCCAGCACCAACAATTAATAAAAACCCCTTTTGATACCATTTTTATCATCAGTCTGAGTCTAGCTGTTGTGTGGTGAACACAGTGACAAAATTCGAAGCTTGCTGAGAGGTTTTTTGCTGTTCATTTAATTCTTGTGTGACTTGTCAAAATCTTCATTATTTGTTGGGACTATATTGAAATACAGTTTAAAGTTAAAGTTGGGATTCTACCAGGAATCCCCAGCCTTGTCCCAGGCTGATTCTGTGTTTCTATTTATAATTCTTTTGATCCACAGCTTCTTTCTCTTTTCTTGTGTTGTGGTGACTGTTGTCCCCAACATAAATCAGCGGTGATCCAGAATAAATTTTTTTTTTCGAATTTTTGAAATACTACCGGAGGGCAAAAAAAGTATGAATGATGTAAAATTGAATGTGAGCAGAAATGAGAGAGGATTTATCGCATAATTTTGAATATCAAATTATATATTCAATGTTTACATTGTCCTGAAACTGATGCGCCATTTGCTTCCTCGCACATTTTCAATTTATTTGGCGACTTTTTTTTTTTAAACCAGCATTTTGAATAACGTTTGAACGGAATTCTTTTACGACAGAACAAATGTCTGACGTGCAGTAGTTTTCAGTCTTCTCTAGCATTTGTGTCATTTTTTTGGATAACTTAATCATAAATTTTCGATGAATGCCCTCAGCTTTCTGTTGAAATACAAGTTTTAAATTTCAGAATGTCTGGGAGCTGATAGAAGCGATACTTCATATTTTTTTAGGCAGCCAGAACTTTGATATTTTGACCAAAATATTTGAAACAAAACTATGCATGACTGAGCGAAATTGATTTCCATGCGAAAAATCCTTATATTGAATGGATATTGACTGTTTCTCTTAGTTCAAACTTGAGTAAGTCGCTTTCAAATCCTGTAAACGTTTTAGACTTATTTTTGTATGCAGTGAAAACACGAATGCAACTCGTGCCTGAAAATGCTTGCTCTCTAAAACGGACTTTAGATTATTTTGATTTATATTTTCCCGAGTAATTTTTCTTTCAAAATGAAGATGATGCAGAATTTGTTCCGAGTGAACGTGGTGAAGTACGAGGGGCAGCATGTCAAAATTAGTTATGAAAGATTAGAAAAGCTAACCTGAGTTTAGTGCATTTTCATGTGCAGCTAATTAGTCGAGAAAAGAGGAATAAGTAGCTTACGAGAAATAGAATAAAGAAGGCAGCTTTTGTCGTTGAGAAACCCTCTGTTCTCGGGTTGCCGATAAACCCCAGCGAAAATAAACAAGGCGGAACGAAATCGGAACCAGACGGCCCCAAGCTTGAAACAACGGTCGGCTGGAACACGTGCTTCTCTGAGTTTCCCCCTTTTTTTGGTTTTAGGGGGATGCAAAAAAGTACCGACTTGTTGCAAACACTTGTTTTCTTCCCCATGCAGCATCCACATTTTTTTGTTGTAAAAGTGCAATATTCGGAGGAGAAAGAGGCCCCGAAATGAGAGCGGAAAATTGGCAGGAAGTGGGGGGATGCTGCTTGTATATTTACCCGCGAGGTTTTGTCTCAAAATAAACCATTTTTGGTCCTGCATACAGATCTGTATTATCTTTAAATTATTATTTCTGCTTGGTTTTTCATGTGATTTTGAAGTACAGTATTTAATCCTTAATAATTTCATAGCTCCCCATAGTTCACCCGACGAGAAAAAATAATTAAATAAAAAAGAAACATGAAAATAAAGAGAAAAGAAAACAGACTCGAACTCTGCTGAGAATGTCACGAGATCTCATAGATTTTGAAAAATAAAATTTGGAATAATGTCAAGATTTTCACAATATTCGCAGCAAGGACATTTACACGAATTTCAGCGGTTTTTGAGCCGCTGGAAAATTAATATTCTTTGCTTCTACAGTAAAACTTGGGTGATTTGAAAAAAAAAATCAAGATTCAGAAATATATTAGGAAGTCATCTGGTTTAAGGAAAATTTCCTCTTGGAAAACTTGAATTTTCCTACTTCATTCCAGCAAAAAAAAAAACAATTTCATGAAAATGCGTCTTTTGGAAAGAAAACCTTCATCAATATTGCAGTACTCTTTGATGAATAAAATTTAAAAAAAAATTATCAGATCTAACGCTTCACTTTTATTTAAGATTCCACTAACTTCGCCTGATACCTTTATTGTTCATGCAGTATAAGTTAATCTAAATCCCAGAGGTGGAAAGTGCCAACAACATGACGGACTAAAATTAAGGTGCGAAATGTTTTTAGCAAGCAATGTTGGTGCAACAGTTATAATAAAAACAAAACACTGTATATTCAGATTTTCCCCTCCGAATTCGCTTTCCAGGGTATTATTATTTTTGAATCATACAAGAAATAAAAATTCCTTCCAAATTGAAATAGTGATTTCGAAAACAAGCCGCATAAACTAAAAACAACATCACAGGATGTTTTTCTGTTTCATGAAAAAATTATCCGGAACGACGAAAGTTTGGTTGAATTTCTTATAATAGAACAATTCAAATTTAGAACTGAACATTAAAAATTTAAAAAAAAATTATTCACCTCTTTCAAAAAAGAGAACGATACAAAAAAATGTGTACACTTTGAAAATATACATTATCGCACTAGTTTTCAAACTTAAAAAAAAGGCATGAAAAGGTTTGCAGGGAATCATTCTACAGAAAAGTTTACTCGTCAACCGGATTTTCAAATCATCGCAGTGACGCGACTAAAAAAAAGAAGAAAAAAATCAGTCATCGAACTTAAACTTTTCTCCCCCCAAAAAATATTTACAGTCACGATAAAACCAGCCAAAAAACAAAAAACTGAGAAAAATGTTACTGATACACCTCCACTATATATTCGCCACAAAATAGCTCCAGTACCGATTATGCATATAATAAATAAGACGGGTTGGAATTAATACCAGGGAGTCGGTCGAACGTAACGAAATGCGAACCCGTGGGGGGTTATTGATTTATTGAACAAAACCGTGACTCGCTCAAGTTTACACCAAAGAAACGACGTCTTACAGGCAACAGAAGCGAGTTGTACACAAGTCGGTCACAACTGCCTTCGTCATGACTCGGCACGTTTCGTCGCCAGTGAGAAAAAGCATTGCGATCTATTCAAAGGAATATTGCGAAAAAAAATACCTAAGCTTTCGAGAAAGGAAAGCAAGCCCTTTTTTCCCTAAGCCTCAAAAAATCATAGCGTCAAAGTAAGTATCCCTTCAAATTAAATAAACATTAATTTAAATAATGAAGTCCTTCCGCCTGGAAACACTTTTTCAAAACGGAAGCGAGAAAAGACACAAAATAAAGTTGAAATAAAAAAAAATCCCCCCCCCAAGCTTTTGAGAAGGGAAAGCAATTTCTCTTTTTTTTTTAAAGCCACAAAAACGATCGTAGTTTCAAATTATGTACCCCTTAAATTCAAAATCTTCAAAATATACTTTTGCGTGAGAACATTTATTCAAGTCCCAAACCAAAAAGAAATCAACTACAGTTGAATTGAAAAAAAAAACCAGGCAGTCAATAAGAAAGGAAATCGACCCCTTTTTTCAAGCCACAAAAACGATCATAGCATTAAATTATGCGTCTCTTCAACTCCATTCTTTAAATCTTGAAGTATTGTACAGTACTTCGGCATGAAAACAATTTTTTAAACCCCAAACCAAATAATTGAATACAGGTTAATCATAAAAAAAACCCAAGCTTACGAGTGAAGAAATCAATATATATTTTTCAAGCATCGAAAACAGTCATATCATTAAATTATTAATCCTTTAAATTCAATTTTTTCAAATTATAAAGTAATTTCGCGTGAAGACATGTTTTAAGACACAAATCCAAGAAACGAAAATATGATGCAAAATATTATTTTAAACAAACATACAGCATCAGATCTTAATACAAAATGTCCCAAAAACCCCGCCGTGAAAATGCATTCAATTTTCCACTTATAAACTGTGTGAACAATGAAAATCAAGACGGACACGAGCATAATTTCGCTAAATATTTCCCCATTTATTCCCTCATCGAAATTATTCAAATCAACTTCAAAAAAGTGAATACCTGGAATAAGAATCAAGAGCCTCGCAGCAACTCTGGGAGGCAAAATCCAATAAAAGTCTTCGCAAGTCAACAAGAATGAAAAAGGTGATTAGAAAAAAGCTGAATCAGATTTAAACCCGCATAAAAAGTCTACGAGGAAATAAATTATTTCAAAACACTATTTTTCAACAAAAAAGATGCAGGACTTTTAAATCTCGAGTGATTGAAAAAATTCGTATGCGAATTAAAAAAAAAAAGTACAAATAATTCGCCTGAAAACCCACATCAACAAATTCATCAGTCAAATTATCATTTAACAAACAAATTTATCAGTCTGGGACAGGACCAGGAATTCCTTGTAGGACTTTTTAGTTCAAAGGGATACACGTATTTCACAGAATAAACCAATAAATAAGCAACTCAACACAGCTTGCAAGATAAGTTTGGAATAAGTGAATAACTTGAATAAAAAATCACAACTGATGACAACCTTGAGCTGGGTGAGCTCCTTATATACCCAGAATTACACATAACCTTCAATCGCTTTTACACCTTTTTTTTCAGGTCAGGAATTATTGTCCAGGATGCTATGGTGCATTCCTGGCACTGCGATTTTGTGGAGGAGGAAATTAATTCCTACTTCCAAGAATTAATATTATATAACTTATTAATTGCGCGGCGTGCTTGCCCAACAGAAGTTCAACTGTAATGTAAAAAAATAAAATAAAAAATAAAGCACACTCTCACCATTGCCAGAGACGAGGAGTTTCCATCCATGCCCAGTGTTGGTGATTCTGTCACACGCGTCAGAGTCGTAGGTCCAGGCGAGTCCAGAAGAAAAGTTGACAGCTTCTCCTCTGCCACTCGGGATATCGATCGGACTCTGTCGTTTCCCACTCGCCAACGGGAAGTGGACGGCCCATGTGTGTGGACCTGAAAGGTAAAAAAAAAGCACAGACACATGGAATCAAATAACGAAAATTATTAATTATTCAAACACGCGGAATTGAATCTCCCCTCTCGAGAAAAAAAATAAGTAAGGGTCTCGGGGATTCGGGGGCTCGTCGTTATCGGTAGTGTAATATTCCTTTCTCGCCTTAAATGTGTGTGTTCCCCACAAAATACAATTAATATTACGTAAATCATCAAAATTAAGTATCGATTCCACCTCGAACAGAGAAATCTAGTGACGACGGTTCTCGCCGAAAATCATCATCATGAGCGATCAAATATAAGCTCCGCAAAACCTCTTCGGGAAAAGCAGCGCAATTTTTTACTCTAAAATTATGCCAATAAATGTAAAAAAATACTTTGAATTACTTTAAAAATACTGCACAAAAAAGGACGAAATCGTAGAAGACACTCGTCACGTGTGTAATATGGACAGAATAATCAAGGACGAGGAAAATATATCCCACGTTCGAAATTTAAACCCCCAAATAAAATAAATTACAAGCACGCGTTGAAAAAATTGAAAACGTCTCTCTTGAATGACTCTTTGAAAATTCGTCAGATGAACCCGTCAACCAAAAAAAACCATTTCGAATCGAAAGAAACAAAATCACGCGATGACTCCGAGTTCATAATTCCGAACTTGCAAATCAAGAATGAACTAAGTCTTCTGGAAAAAAAATATGTAAAACTTTTTCCTCACAAGAAGAGAGAAAAGTCCTCACTCAATTTTGTTTTGCAAATAAATTTTACAAAATTTATAAGCGTTGGATTCTTTTGTGAAGCGAAGATAAATGAATATATAAATGTCAATTGGCAGAAGCGCGACCTGCCGAGAAAAAAGGCGCGATTTGTTTTGGCGCGCCATTCGGAAAATTGAGCTCTTTAAGAGAAAAAGTGCAAAAAAAACACAAGACACTCAAGGTTATGCGTAAAATAATGCTTTACAAAATAAACAGCCGCAGCTGATGAATTGCCAACTTGAAATTTCTTATAATGCCTTCAATCCGATCACTCAGAAGAAAAACAACACACAAAATGACACTCATCTGAAAATAATCTTCGGGGGAAAAAAAAAGGTCATACGGGTCACACGTGGAAGTTGGTTACCAGTCCTAATCCCACATCAATCACAAGGAGAAAAAAAACCCCCATAAATCGGTACCAGTGCAGAATATCAAGAAAACACCCAGACACATTCACAGCTAATGGATTCTCATGTTCAGAGTCATTCAGTTCGTAATCCCATTACTTGGACGAGAAGAAACAAATCAAAAGATAATCTCAACAGAATTCTCCATACAAGAATAAGTTCAAAATATTCAGGGCCAATAAATTCTTCAGTTTCAAGCCGTTTACGACTTTCAATCCCATTTTCGCTTGAAACTTTCAAGTTCCAGTTTCATGTTCCTCATCTATTTCAGCAGAATACTATACTTCGAAAAAAAATAGCATTAAACATTTACAGGGTGAAAAAAATTTGAAAATATCTGTCACAATAAGGAGTGGTCAATTTCTCGACATCGTGATGATAACAAAAAACACGCAAACTCTACAAAGCGTCAAATTTTCACTGTATTCGGTTACTGATTGTATTTGCGTCAAACTTAAGGTTGATTTCTGAGCGTCAAAGCATAATTACTCGCGATAAAAAATATTGGCAGAGAGGCTCGAAAATCACCTATAAATCGCCAAATTTTACACTGTAATCGATCATTGATTCTAATTTAGCCACAAATTCGGTAGGAGGAATAAAATAAATTTTGAGCGCGAAAAACTGAATCATCTGAAGATAATGCCCCTTTATTTTCCAAACCGATGAAAAACTTGGAAAGATTATTAAACAAAGTTATGTTTTTCTTTAAAAAAATATACAAAAAACTACTCGATCTTCAGTAAACGGAACATTTCACGAGTACGGGAATATTCGATTTAGATCCCCAAGTGATCCAAAAAAACACCTTGGCCTCTAACCTTCAATAGAACTTCGCAGCTCGAACGGATATCAAAGTATGTACAAAATTGTCAATCTTTTACGCTACTCAAGCATGACATCCAATAGCAAAAAAATACAAATCTATCTCTTTTTTATTTCTAATGGAAAACCTTCGTAATAGAAGCAACCGAAGTGACATCACGCAATGACGCAAACCACTCAACACGCCAGTAATATGTACAGTATATATTACATACGCATACACTAGGGGTTCTACAAAAGTTCTCGGGACATAAATTAAAAGAAATCACTGAAACGACATATGATAGAGCAGGGAAAACAATAATTCTTGTTTTCTTAAATATTCTTTGGCATATTCAGCCCTGTTCGGAATTTTTTTTTTTTGTTGTTGCTGCAAAAAGTCACCTTTACAGGTTTCTGAAGGTTCGTGGAATAAATGTCGTAATTTCAACACATACTTATTATTTTCAAGGGTCTCCATGCAGGAATTAACTCGTGAAAAAATCTTTTATTTATGCACAACTGGCTCAACATTGTACTGTTGGAAAATCCTGAGGGTCGTCGAAAAAATCGTTTGAAAAAAAAAAAACGGATAAATCTCGTACATTGGTAATGGAAAAATTTCGTTACTCAAAAAAAAGGAACAACCTTTTCTGGCTGAACTGGAATATTCTTGTCAAAAGAGAAAAGGGGAATTATTTTGTCAATCTCCTCAATGAAGTTCTTCCCTGCTTTCTTGCAATATCGATGAATCACATTTCAATTTATTCAATTTATGGCAATTTCGATTTATGTGTTCAATTCATGCACACATAAATAAGTGCATTTTAATTTGAATCTTGGAAATTTAATTTTTTTTAATTCATTCGGCTTGCAATGATTTGTCTCCAATCAACAATGTGTGTTTCTTCTTCTTATTTTTCAATAAAAAAAATCAGGCGTTCATCTCGAAAATTTTTTCCATATAGCCCGACTTCTCCTTCAAAATTCTTGAAATCGACACATGACATGAACCAAAAGGGTTGCCACAAGGTCTTTCCAAGGTAATTCCGCCATTTACATCAACAGCCGCCACATTTATTCTCAGCCCAAGTGGCGGCTGTTCACGAAAATGGCGTTATTTCCCCCCCAGCTCGATCGTACTCCGTTTCAATTTATACTGTATTCAAAAGCATTTGTTAAACCCCCTCGTATCCCCCCCCCCTCCCTGACATTCGCAATCACACCCCATGACGGAATACCCTCGGACACAAAAGCTGAAATTGGATTTCTCTACGCACAAAAGCCCGGATGTGCATGCCGAAATGAGATCCAGCTAATTAAAGCCCTTCCATGACACACACATACACAAATGTATATAAATATACATACTCGTATAAAACCAATGAAAGTCAAGTTCAATCTAAAAATTCCAACCACAATAAAGGATATACTCTTTCGTCGACGTTAATATCTTCTCCGAAAAATGACTCATGGCGGGACAATTCGTCACGAAAAACAAATTCCGACTTTCAACCTTTTGAATTTCGAAGACGCGTAAATTATCGTGGTTCAGTATTTATTTTTTTTGGACGTGAGAGTTTGAAACAAAAACAAATATTGGTGAGTGTTGCCAAGTTTATTCGTCACATTTGTTGGTCAAGTATTTCACAGCCCGGAAATTTCTCATATAAAATTATTCACAGTAACATGTCCCAAGGCTTACATTCATAAATCATGAGGCAATTTAACTTGTAAGGAATTTTAGTACATCTTAAAGAGGCACGGATTTTCAAGACTTAGCTTTGAGTTGAGTTCCAGTTAAATTTCAAAATGATTGACTAGGGAGAAGTTTCGAATAAAATTTCGATGAAAAAATTGCATTCGACCTTGATTTCATCCCGAGGTTTTTTGGTCTTCAAATCACTGTTGAAAAAAATATTTCCGCTGCAATAAAATTAAAATTATTGAAATCGCGGAAACGTCTTACGTCATGAAAAGCCACGGGAAACTTTCCCTCGCAAATGGTCTTGAACACACACAAAAAAAAAAAAAGGCTAGACGCAAATGAACATGATTTAGGGGGAAAATGGAATTAATCTACTTGTTTACCGAATCCGAGGCGACGAAAAACAAGTTGATTAAGAGGTTAGTCACCCTCCTGTAAAACGAGCATAAAATCGATGAATAGGAGGTCAACAAACGTGTGTATAGTGAATGACTTACAACACCATCGGGTCAAAAACCTCGTTGTAACGTGTCGTGCCAATTTTATTGATTCATTTATTTTCTGGACAGGAGCCTAAAGTATGATTTTTCTCGGTTAAAAAAATAAAATAAAAGGAGAACCCGAATTTTTAGCTCCCCTGCGCAAAAATAAAAGTCATGTGACGGATACGTAAGAACTGTGCCCGTGGTTCCCCTAAAGGCATCTCGGTGTCCCATCAGTCAATCCTCCTTCTACCCCCCCCCCCCCTCGAAGGGGTTCAGGGAATGAGGGAGAAGGAAGGATCAGTGCGGCTTTGCAGCCAGAAAGGCACGAGAGATCTTTGCCTTATGGATCTTCATCCCCCCTTTCGAGCGCGGGTTTTCTGATCTTGAGCCAGCTGATGGCCTTACCTTCATTTTATTCCTCATTCGTCCTATATAGGTCCAGATAATTCCAAGAAAGAAAGAGAGAGAGAGATCCCTTCGAGACGAGGAAGAAGAAGAAGAAAAGAGTGGATCTCATCAGAAGAGCGATTGCATTATAAAAAAAAGTGGACAATGAGAGAAGGTGGACTCTCCTCATTACGACGAAAGTCAAGGGACCAGAAAAAAAACTTCATTGTACAGTACAGAGGATTTTAATCTTCTATGAAATGTAGATGAATTTTGATGGTTCAAGGTATCCAGAAAAATTACTTCGAGAAGCATGGGATAAATTATAAGAAGGAGAATTAAACTTCATGAGCATAACAAAAGTGTAGCAAATGGGAATTTTCAGAATTAATCTTGTCTACAACGATTTTCTTGTCGGTCACATATGATTTTCTCCCCGTGTTTAAAAGGCTCTACCACGAAATTCAAGGGTCCAGAAAAATTTTTTTGTAGAGAGAAATTCGACCTACCATAAGAAATGATGAATTTAGACGCTACAAGGTGTCATAAAAAATTATTTTGCGAAGGATATTTATAAAAAAATTGACATTTATAAACCCTAACCAAAGTGAAGCTACCCCGGAAATTTTCAGATTTCATCTTCGACTCTTTAAGTTTTTCTCTGTAAAACGAATTTTTTGTAGGTCCCAAATGGATCTCTCCCCAATTGCATGCAAGACCTTTTGTACAACAAAATTTAAGGAACCAGAAACACTTCGTTATAGAGAAAATTCTGAAATTCCCTGACATGTAAATGGATTTTGATGCTCCAACGTGTCTAGAACAATTTTTTTTTCTGAGCATGGAATAGATTTTCGTTGTAGGAAACCCCCTATAAAATGGGAAGAGAACCATATGAGACCAAAAACAAATTCGTTGTACAGTGAAACGAACATTTTTTTTGCAAAGAAAGAAAGAGAGTCCTCCTGAATTAAGATTTTAAAATATCTGAAAATTCCTTTGTTAGCTTCATTTAGGCCAGGCTTATGAAGGTCAGTTCTCTTTAGACCACCGCCTTTTTTTGAACTTTCATTTCTGTAATTGTGCAGTTTCTTGCATTTTTTTAGACTTTATTTTTATAAGACAGGAAATTCCTGCCGGGTACGATCGGGTTCCAAATGGATCTCATCTGGTTTCCCCTGAGATGCCAATGGGGTTCGGATGTCCCTGGGCAAGACAGATCTTACAGATGCGATGTTCAAAATGAATATCGTTCGTTTTTTCTCCCAGACCATGTCTCTTACTAAAATAACTCAAACCCTTCAAGTGATAATTTTACGAAGACATTCCAAAACATAGCGGCGATCAAAGAGATGTATTTTTGGAAAAAAATATTTTTAATGCATTATTATGCGATGAAAATTTACCGTAAAAAAAAATTTGTTAGCTCTTTTTACTTTGCTTTCAGGAAGAACATTGAAGCGAGGAAATTTTTCCGATGCTACTCAAAAGATAAATGTTCTAGACATCTTGAAGCGTCAAAATTCATCAACATGTCGGCGAATATTGAAGTCTTATTTACACAAAAATAAAATAAAAATTCTTGTAAGCGGAACAAATTCATTTACAAATATTTTTCTTCCAACGCACAACTCGAATCATTTTAATCAAGAATTTGTGTTCGAAAAGAAAAGAAAAATTTTGTAGCCCTTTGCTTTCAGGACGAAAATTGAAGCGAGGCAAATTTTTCCTATGCTGCTCAAAAGACCATTTTTCTAGAAATCTTGAAGCGTCAAAATTCATCAAAATGTCAGGGAATATCAAAGTCTATACACAAAAAAATTGAAAAAAAAAAATG